GGCCGAGTGTCTCCTCCAACCCCAGCGCGCGGCGAGCCGGAAGTCACGGTGGAGATCGGAGAGACTTACCTGTGCCGGCGGCCGGATAGCACCTGGCGTGAGGGCGGGGCCCAGGGCCAGGGGGCGGGGCCTGCGCTGGGCGGAGCTTGAGAACTGGCTTTCGGAAGGGCAGAGAGCTGGGGGCTGGGAGCCGGGGGCGGGGCTCGAGGAAAGAGCGCCCAGTTAGCAGCACTATGACGCCAACCGGGTAATGGCAGGCTGTCATCCTTGAGTTATGCTGGGTGCCGCCTACAAGCCCAACTGTCAGGAAATCACCTTATTTTCTCTCTCTTTTTTTTTGGAGAGATTTTTTTCGCTATAGGGCGCGTGCGCTCGCCAGAGAGAGACTTAGAGACAGAAAGCGAGAAATCACCCCCCAGAGGGAATGGTCATGCCGCAATCCCTTCTCCTCCATTCTCCTCTCGAGATCTTGGGCACGCACACACACGCGCCCGGCGTGAGTTTTAAGCCACCGGCTCCGGGATGCGAACCGCGGTTGACTATGTGGGAGTCCAGCGACAGAGCCATTACGCTAACTGCTGGTTCCCACCTTATTCTTTTACTGTATACAGAGCTTCCATTCCACTTGCTTGACCAGTCTTAGTCTTCATAACTTTTTCTTGTTAACCCTTCTTCCTCACCGTCTGTCTCTGTCTTTCCCATTCATCCTTCCCCTGCAGCCACCAGTAAAGAGAAGCTTCCAGTACACAAAAAGAAGTTTCCCTCTCCCTTACATTTCATTGCCTTCTCACACCAAAATAAGCCTCCAAACTCCCTAGAACAGTATTCATGTTGTGACCTCTCCAGCTTCTAGCCACCCCCAGTAAAGGCCACTGCCAGACCTGAACACTCTGTGTCCTTTGAAGGTCATATGCCTTTTGCCACCTGTACTCTCCTGCTTGAAATGCCTTTTCTTCCCATTCCCCACATTCACCTGACTAGCTCCTCCTCATCTTTTTAACTTCATACCCTCTGTGATGTCATTCTTGACTCCCTTAAGGCAAAGTGAATTGTTCTCTTCTGTATGTTCCTTAAACATTTTTCTCATACCTCAGCCATGGTATATGTCACATTACATTGTAATTTTCTGTTTGTGTCTTCCCCTATCAAACTAGGAACTTCTGGAGGAGAGGACTATTCATGATTCATTATCATGGCCTCTGTACCCAGCAAAAACAAACTATAGGGCCAGACACACAGTGGTTGCTTTACTCACTTATTGAATGGTCTGCTGGTTGTCAGGCACTGTGCTAAAAATTTTGGAGGCATTTACTCACCTTTTTTTTTTGTTTGTTTTTTTTTTGTTTTTTGTTTTTTTTTTGAGAGAGATTTTCACTGTAGGGCGCGTGCGCTCGCCAGACAGACAGAGAGAGACATAGAGACAGAAAGCGAGAAATCACCCCCCAGGGGGGATGGTCACGCCGCAATCCCTTCTCCTCCATTCTCCTCTCGGGATCTTGGGCACGCACGCACACGCGCCCGGCGTGAGTTTTAAGCCACCGGGTCCGGGACACGAACCGCGGTCGACTACGTGGGAATCCAGCGACATAGCCATTACGCTAACTGCTGGTTCCCATTTACTCACCTTTTGAGGTGGGCACTATATCCCTATTTTATGGATGAGGCTGAGGTTCAGAAAGTTGCTCAGTTTAACTGATTGACTAAAAGATATTCAAACACAAGAGATGGGTGTGAATGCCCGATGTGCTGTGTGTTGGAGGAGTGGGGCCTAGGAAAGACATTTGGAGGGGGGATCCAGAGGGAGAACATTGGGGGAGGTGTGGTGTTATCTGTTGAAGATATTTTGATCAACTGAACTGGGGAGAAATGTTCACATATTGAAATGTTCACTTTGTAAGCTAAACAATGTGATTAAATGTATATAAATTAATTAATTTTTAAAAATTAGGAAAAAAAAGTTGCTCAGTTTCACATAGCTAGGAAGTGGGTAGCTATAATAGAGTTATATATAAACTCAGACCATCTTTTTTAAAGAAAGATTGGGACCAGCAGTTAGTGTAATGGCTATGTCACTGGATTCCTACGTAGTCGACCACGGTTCAAGTCCCAGACCCGGTGGCTTAAACTCACGCCGGGCGCGTGTGTGTGTGTGCCCAAGATCCCGAGAGGAGAATGGAGGAGAAGGGATTGCGGCGTGGCCATCCCCCCTGGGGGGTGATTTCTCACTTTCTGTCTCTGTCTCTCTCTGTCTGTCTGGCGAGCGCACGTGCCCTATAGCAAAAACGTCCCTCAAAAAGAAAAGAAAGAAAGAAAGATTTATTTATTTAATTTTATGTACTACTACTATTATTATTTTTAATTTGATCAGAGAGAGAGAGAGAGAAAGGGAAAGGGAAAGTGAGAAAGCAAACTGCCAGGGTCCGGGACTCAAACCATGGTCAGCCATGCAGGAGGAGTTCAACACTTCAACCATAATGATGCCTGCAGTCCCCAAACTTGGACCATCTTATCTTTTTTTTTTAAGAATTGATTTATTTAACTTTCTTTATTTTATTTTATTTGACCACAGAGGGACAGAGTGAGAGAGAGAGGGAAAGCGATAAAGCAAGCTGCCAGGTCCAGGACTCAAACTGCAGTCAGTCATGTGGGTGTCCAGTGTCCTTAACCACTATGCCACCTGCTGGCACCAAGCTTGGACCATCTTAATTTAGAACCAGCCCTTATGACTCCTGAACAAATGAACAACTGAATGTATATTGTAAAACAAACCTTGGATTTATAGTCATATCTAAACTCAGTTTAGTATTAGCGCTTAACACTTTCCAGATCCGTGAACCAGGCAAGCCAAGTTTTCTCATCTGTAAAATAGGAATAACAAGGCCAGCAGGTGGCGTGGTGGTTAAGGGCACTGGACTCCCACATGGCTGACAATGGTTTGAGTCCTAAACCCGATGGCTTGCTTTCTCACTTTTCCTCTTTTACTCTGTCCCTCTCTGGTTAAATTTAAATAAATAAATAAGTACAGTTAAATAAAATAATTATTTTTTAAAAATAGGAGTAACAGCCCCAACTTGGTCACCTCTCAGGATTGTGGCAGTGATTGAGTAGAATGGCAGATGTGTACAGGTGTTAGAAGAAGTTATCTTCCTGGGATCTGGAAACTGCTCATTGTGCAGGATCCTTGTTCCAGCTTTGTCTGTCTTGCTGATGATCTTCACCATATCCCTTCACAGATTCTGCGGAAGTGATCCAGTCTCGAGTGAATGACCAGGAGGGCCGAGAGGAATTCTATGTACACTACGTGGGCTGTGAGTGGGTTAGGGCAGCCCAGGCCTGGGTGGGGGAAGGGGTGGCAGGGGCTGCATCCTCATGGCCCATCCTCACAGTTAATCGGCGACTGGACGAGTGGGTGGATAAGAACCGGCTGGCACTGACCAAGACAGTGAAGGATGCTGTGCAGAAGAACTCAGAGAAGTACCTGAGCGAGCTCGCCGAGCAGCCTGAGCGCAAGATCACACGCAACCAGAAGCGCAAGCACGATGAGATCAACCATGTGCAGAAGGTCGGGGCCCCTCCCCTTCCCCAGAGCCCAGGCACCAGCTGCCAACTTACCAGGACCTCTTGAGTCCCAGTACCAAAACTACAGCTGCTTCCATTTCTTATGCTCCTGTAGGGTG